AAAATCCCGTACGCTTTTTTGGAGTGAAATGCCCCTCGAGTATAACGTGGCGTGACTTCTATAGTCAATTATTGATAAATCATGCAATATTTTTCGATTTAATATTATTATTAAAATTCAAAGATTGTACAATGATAAGTTGTTTAAGAATTTAATATACAAAATAAAGAATTTATACCTTTGTATAATCCTTGAATTTCAATGATAATTGAAATCAACATATTATGGAAAAAGATGAAAGTTTTAAAATTATATTAATAATATTTTTCCTCAGGTATTATGGCCATATGACTGCACATATCCAAGTATCATAAACAACAAAGGAAGCTATCAATTCATGTATAGTATCTACACTTGTTGCAAGCAGTGCGATTTCCCTACTTACAGCGCGTGTGTGAAAAAATTTGGCTCTCCCGACTGGCGCTGTCCCAGTGATGGCGTCCACTGTATTCTTAAATGCGTCAGCACGTATGGACCGGGATATACTGAGGTTCTAGTGAAACCCGGGACCGGAGGAATAACTACTAGTAGCATCGGTGGAGGTCTTGGTACTAGGCCTGGCAAAGGGACCGTCATTAAAGTTCCTAAGAAGGTAAAATGTGTGAAAACTGAAAAACTCCCGAACGGCAAGACATGTATTAGAAGATTGTGCGTCCCACTAAAGACTTAAACTAGCTTTTGTGAACTTTCGAAAACAGCAGCAAAGTCTGCAACACAAGTATACTATAGTCTAGCAAAGTAGCTCAGTTTTGTTAAGTTTTATTTGAATGTTGATTTTCCAATCAATTTGCCAGTAATGTAGAACTCACTTATATGTACTACAATTTACAACATGAATGTCCGTGTCGTATTCTTCAACAATTTAAAATAAATGAATGATATTTGGTGAGAAAATTGAACTTAAACTTTACGTAAATCAGCAGGATTTTGCTTTTTGTGTGTGTTTTCTTCATGAATTATTGATTTATAAACCACTAATAAGTCATCATTAAAATCATGTCCTATCATCACCTTTATACTTTCACTGGTATAACAAAACGCCGGTATTTAAAAGCATTCTTTGTTTCGCACAATTTGATAACGAACATCCCATTACACGTAAGAACATGCAAGAATATTCCAAAGCTATTAAATATAGAAGTGCAATTGACATGCACTCACAGCCATAAAACGGGAGACTATATACGCGAGCAGAAGGACACTGATGATCCTTTTTGTGGAATTCTTCTGCGGGTATCACTTGTTCAAGTTTTAATACGCCTTGAGGCGTGTGTCAAAATCAAGGTGTGTTTTTATAAACACGTCATACATGGTGTGTTTTTCCACACACAATACTGTGTTTTGGTACACTCTATTAACTGTGGTACACTGTACACACCATGCGGTGTTTTTAAAACACTGCACTATTATACTATTATAATAACACTATTAAGATGTGCTACATTCATATTTATTCATAATAATAAATATGAAACTAGTTTTTCATGTCTCTGAGTCTGAGTATGGTTCTGAAATAGTGTGCCATATATTATTATTACTTATTTAAAAAATTCCTGGCTTCTGATTGGCTAACAGCCAACTGTGAAATTGTCATATCAACTCAATGGCTAACTAAATACGGATTTTTCACATTCATATTAGTAAAATGACGTCAAAGAGTCAATATGAAAAAAATTTGGACGCGTTTGCACCATATTACTATGACGACGAGAATCATATTGACTCGCTGACGCCATTGATATGACGCGACGACGGCTGCCGAAGGACTAAGCAATTGTTTTTTTTCTTAATACAAATAAAATACTGTCAAATGTTTGTTTTGAATTTTGAGGGCTTGATAATTCTTCATATCGTGCTCAACCTCATTCAATAATTGTTAAATGTTAAGTACACTCAAATTCTTAAGAATCCTTCAAAATTAAAAGTTCCTTCTATCCGTTAATTACTTCGATTACTTCAACTATTATTTAGGATAGTTATATGTAAGCACTTGCATGACTTGCAGGGTAATGATTAAAGTTGGATGCCAATTTATCATAACAAATTTAGACAAATCAGTGATCAAAGATAAATTAATTCGCCTGTGCATGAACGGTGATAGACAGACGGATTATTCGAAAAGATAAACTATATGCCATCACATGTCTTCACTGATGATCTATTGACACAAATTATGATTTGGCGAAAACTCATGTCCGTTTTCCCAATCTTTCTCAGGATGTTCAGTGAATTACTGCCTGCACATTTTATTTGATCAGTTTAACTATCAATGAAATTGCACTAGGAGTCAAGTCCATGCAAGTCAAGTTTTTTTATGTGTGATTACTCAATACCATTAAAAAATCGCGGATAAAGCCGTTTCATAATAACAAATCACTTGTCATACACACCTATAGCTATTGACGTCTTGTATGTCTTGTTACTGAAATATAAACTCCCCGCACAAATTATTAATAAGGAAACAACTTATAATATTATATTTCATCAAAATTCAAATCTTGAGTGTTCCGTTTCAGTTCTTTAACGATTTCCCCCAAGACGGGCCCAAGCGGAAAGCCGGAGGAGAGTTATCGAAGTGCGACCAATATAAAGAGAATTGTAACGATTGCTCACTCATAAGCGTGTCAGTTTGCATCGAAAAATGGAAGAAAAAGCTAAAATACTTTTTCTCTGCCTTCTGGTCGTTTTGTTGAGCGATTTTTCTACCGGATTTTTTCGCGTACGCCCTCCTCGTCGATGTTTCCGAACTTTTGCTCGCAGACGTCGTTGTTTTAAGCCATATATACCAATGTTATCGACCACTCAGAAACCAAAGACATTACAGCCAACTACTGAAGCTACAACGCCTCCTGTGGTATTTTTAAATCCTGTAAAATCTCACTCTTCAGAATTGCCTTACTGTAAGTCCAGAGATGTAAACGAAATTCTCAGACCAGCTGGAAGTCGAACGAAACGTGCGGTAAGTAAGGTATTTGTATGTATGTATGGGGATTCAAATTAAGTCTAGATTCTACGTCCTTTGTAAAAAATAAAGACCTTTGTTCTTTGTCGTCTGCGAAATCAAACCCCCACTGGCCGCAGGTATAGGCTGGCAAATATTATTTGTATTTTACTTCAGCCGTTTGCGAGACATGACTGTACCTATGATAACTGAACAAAGTACGGTAATACAAGACTCACAGTTGCTGCAGAGAGGACCAAATTTAGTTCGCAGACTTTTACGTGCATGAGTATACTATATATAATATAGATCCTAGCGGAAATTCGGTTGGGAACCGAACAACTCCAAATGCATGAAAGGAAATATTGCGCACTAGAAACAAGTTTTGCCAGTGGCAACGGGTATAGTTTCAAATATATATTATCAACAAGGTCAATTGCACACGTAAAAACATTGTCAACAAAATGCCCAAATTTGCACATTTTGAAATATATTGCAAAATAATGGCCGTTATGAATGCGACACCCTGTTTGAACAATTTAAATCTTGAAATTTGAATCGCTTGTAATAATAAGATAAAATTTATTTCGTTAAAAGTGCGCACGTAGATCTAATCTTATTTGCATTCCATGCGACGACATGAAGTTTGAATTCTATTTATAAGATCTGAATATTAATCAATCAAAATTGGACGAGAAACTATGCAATATTATGTATGAATAATATACTGTATACATGAAAAATTCATACACAAGCGAATTTATGGCAAGTGAATGCATGGAACACATGCGAAATAGATAATTAGTTTGCAAGTTTTCGACTATCTGAACCGGACTTTTTGTATTTATTGTATAAATCTGCGAGTTTGCGTGGCAAAAATAATGCTGGTCATTTATCTACAGCAGATGAACCACTGTCTGAATTCATCATAAAATGGCCTTTCTGACTATCATATTATTCTAGCCGCTATATATTTATCAGCTATAGACCTGAAACGAGGGGTATTCCACAAAAAATTACCCTGCGGGATGAAATATTCCTCGGATACCGAACCTTTCAAAAATAAGTAGAAAACAAATACCATTCAATTAACTTTTAATTTCAAAACACAACTGACATTTAAAAAAGTCGAATTTCCCGCTCAAGAGTGGTATTCGAAGTCGAATACCATGGCCCCGGGTAAAACACCCAGGGTTCAAATTGCCTAGGTCATAGTATTCGCTGAAAAATACCATGGTCATGTGGTACAAATTTAGTTCTCTGATTGGACAAGCTCATTGTGAGGTATAATATATATATATACTTCTAGAATTTCGCTTACCTCAAAATTCCGCAACAGTCCGTTTCATCAGTAAAGAATATACAATTACTTTATGGTTCGTGTTTGGATGGCCGGATCCAAACACGCGGGAATGTTGCGAGAGTTAAGAAAAGCGCGCGAAAACACGAGCCGAAGGCGAGTGATTTTGCGCGCTTTTCTTAACTCGAGCAACATTCCCAAGTGTTTGGATCAGGCCATCCTAACAGGGAAACCATAAAGTAATTGTTTTATAAAATAACAACAACACGATAGTCTTCCGTGTTTGGATGGCCTGATCCAAACACGGGTTTCGACCAATCAGAACACGCGTTATATACATGTTATTTTATAATCATCAGATACCGCCTGATGATTCTTTACTGATGAAACAGACTGTTGCGGAATTTTGAGGTAAGCGAAATTCTACATTTGCTCTATCTTTATGATATTGAGCACTCTTTGCGTTTCGTATACACAAACCTACTCGTATATATACTTCTATATATTTCAGGTCTCGTGGCCATACGAATGCAGACATGCAAGTATATTGCATTTCTCAGGCGACTATCAGTTTATCTGGCCGATATACGACTGCTGTTCAAAATGTAGCTTCCCAGAGTTCACCTTGTGCGTGGCCAAAAGTAGAAGTAAAAATTCTCCAGAGTGGATGTGTCCTAGCGAGGGATTGCAATGCATTGTGGGTTGTGTAAACAAACATAAGCCCGGTGGCACAATCGGTATTTTACCAAACGTTGTCAAACCGGGTATAAAACCCGGTAGTGGCGGGATTCTTCCCAACGTCGTCAAACCAGGTATAAAACCAGCTCCAGGAAAACCGGTCTTGAGCAATTGTGAGAAACTGGAAACGGAAAATGGGAAACAATGTATTCGAAAACTATGCGTACCACTGGGCCAGGCTTTCAAGCCGTGATTGAAAGAAATGTAATGTTTTTGTACTCTCGGGAATTAATGGAGTTTAAAAAAGTTTAAAAAAAGTTTAAAAAAGTTAGATTTTCAAAAAAGTTAAAAAAGTTAGATTAGGGTTAGGGGTTAGGGTTAGTGCAGCGAATTTATCATTATGATAAATTCAAAATGTGCCGCGAATTTATCATAATGATAAATTCGGACGTGTTTAAGAATTTACTCATATAGTATATATTCAAAGGTGGAGCTCATGCTGGATTTTTTAAACCGTTGTGAAAATAGCTTGAAAAGTTATAAAACTACAGATGTGGACTTCAGAATTAATAAAAAGAAACTTTAACTTAGAAACACTAAAGTTTTATCCTGGCTATACCAAACGAACAATTTCAGAAATGTTGTTCACTATCCGATGGATATATAGAGGATATTACACGGCGGCGCGAAGATCCGTGAGTGTGGAAAACAATATTTTACGAACGAGCCCAGCGAGTGAGTAAAATATTGTTTTTAACACGAGAAGATAAAAGTCATATCTTCAAGTCACCGTGTAATGTTCCGTTTATTATATAGTCCCAAGTAAAAAATTGTGAAATTTCACGCTCAAAGCAAATTGGAAAGTCACGTGATCGATATCTTCACTAGTGAAGATATGGAAAATATCTCGCTGTGTATTTTTCAGTATCTCACTCGCTACTATATAATAAAGTGTGTTATCCAGGGGCGAAAATGT